GGCCTGCAGTGAGTTTCTCTGGGCTAAAATCAGTATGTTGACAAGGCTGCATTCCTTCTGGAGGCTGTAGGGGAGAATGCATTTCCTAGGCTTTTCCAGTGTCTAGAGACTGCCCTCATTCCTTGGCTTGGGGTCCCCTTCCATCTTGAAAGCCAACGATGGCCGGTCTAGACTCCGACCTCCTGCCTCCCTATTCTACATTTAATGGACCCTTGTGATTACGTTGGACCCGCTGGATAATCTAGGATAATCTCTTTATATTTAAGCCAGTCCCATCTGCAACTTTAATTACCTTCTGCATGTAATGTAGCCTATCTACAGGTTCCAGACATTAATCCATGGACATCTTTTGGCCGGGGTGGAGGGCAGGAGAAAGTAGTTGTTTTACCTGTCTGCTTCTGCTGACTGTTCACACACTCCCTGAGATTTCTTCACCCACTCTCTGCCACTTCATCTTTTGTCTTAGCCCATCAAGACAGATGCTTGTGGGGTGTCTTAATCACCACCAGTTCTGAGTTAGGAGGAATTCTGACCCAAGATTGGTTTTTATTGGTGGGGTAATACTGACCAAAGTTAGCTTAAATACACTTGTAGTCTTGAGCATTTCTTATACAGTGAGTGAGTAGATCCTATAAAAAATACCATAGGTCACTGAGATCCCCTAGCCTTTTTCATCGTTGTTTCAGGGACAGTTATGTCTACAGATCCACAACTAGATTACTCGGATTGCTGCTTGTCAAAAAATAAAACAAAGGGCAGGTTGCGGACCATAACCTAGACTTATTTAACCAAATTTTCAGGGAATGGATTCTGGGAATGAGTACTTTTAACAACTCCTGTGTTCCTAAGTGGCTCAGTTGGTTAAGTGTCTGCCTTCAGCTCACGTGATGCTCCCAGGGTTCTGGGATCGAGCCCCACATTGGGCTCCCCACTCAGCAGGGAGCCGCCTTCTCCCTCTCCCACTGCCCCTCTCCACCCCCACTCATGCTCTCTCAAATAAATAAATAAAATCTCAAAAAAAAATACTCTCCCCATGATTCTTATATACACTTAAATTTGGGATTCACCATTGTTATCTTTTCTCATTTTCTCTATAATTTTTTACTGACTCTCCCATTAGCATCTGAAGAAGGAAATAATCTGGACCATCAAATATCTGATTGAACATGGTTTCTAATCCAAAGAGACTACTCCACTCTTTTCTTGCTTGCATGGTTTCTGAAGAGAAGTCCAATGTAATTCTTACCCTTGTTCTTCTATAGGTGAGGTGCTTTTCCTTTGGCTTCTTTCAAGATTTTTTCCTTGTCTTTGATTCTGTGCAGTTTGATATATGTCTAGGTGTAGTTTTTTTGGTATTCATCCTGGTTGGTGTTCTCTGAGTTTCCTGGATATGTGGTTTGGTTCTGACAGTAATTTTGGAAAATTCTCGATCATTACAACTACAAGTATTTCTTCTGTTCCTTTCTCTCTCTCTTCCCCTCTGATATTCCCTTTACATATATGCTATACTTCTGTAGCTTCCCACAGTTCTTGACTATTCCATCTTTGTTTTCATTTTTCTTTGTATTTGCTTTCCAGTTTTGGAAGTTGATATTGGCTCATCTTCAAGCTGTTTCTCTCCTGAGCCATGTCCATCTACTGGGGAGCTCATCAAATGCATTATTCATTTCTGTTTCAGTGATTTTGATTTATAATGTTTCCTTTTGATTCTTTTGTAGAGTTTCCGTTCTCTCTGATTTTGTTACCAATCTCTTCTTACATGTTGCTTACTTTTCCCTAATGAGCCCTTAGCATATTAACCATATTTATTTTAAATTTTTAGTCTGATAATTCCAGTCTGTGCTGTATGTGAGTCTGGTTATGAAGATTGCTCTGTTTCATCAAACTATTTTTACCATTAAGTATATCTTTAATTTTTTTTGAAAGCCTGACCTGATATATTGGATAGCAGGAATTGAATTAAATATCACGAGGTTTTTGTTTGTTTGTTTGTTTTCCCGGCTAGGAGTTAGGCCATGCTTAGTGTTTGTGTAGCTGTAGGTGTCAGGCTAACCCTCTCCGTGTTCTTTTTGGGTTTCCCTAGATACCCCTTCTTAAATAACATCTGACACCCTTGCTTAACTCTGTATTCTTTCCTGAGAGTTTTGTATCTTAGCTCTTACATGCAGACCTGTGATCCACTTTAACTGACTTTCTTGTGGATGATGTGATGTAGGGGTCCACCTTCATTCTTTTGTGTGTAGATATTCAGTGGTGCCAGCACCGTTTATTGCAAAGATTATTCTTTCTTCCATATTGTATTGTTTTGTTAGCCTTGTCAGAAAAATCTGTCGACTATAAATGTGTTTATTTTTGGATCCTAATCCTATTTCACCAATCTATATGTCTTTTATTGTGTTGGTACCATACTGCCTTAATTATTATACCTTTATAGTAACCAAGGAAATGAGAGTCCTTTGTTCTTCATTTTCAAGATTGTTTTGGTTATTCTGGGTCCTTGAGTTTCCATTGTGAAATGGAAATTTTATGAAGTGAAAATTTTCCCTGGACTGCTAAGTTGCTTTCACATATGAAAATCAGTTAATGTAATACATAATACTCAATATACTAGAAATAGAATTTACTCACCTGATAAAGAACATCTATGAAAAATGCACAACTAACATCATATTTAAAGGTGGAAGATTGAATATTTTCCCTCTAAGATCACAAAACAGACAAAGATACCCATTCTCACCACTTCTATTCTACATTGTACCAGAGGCTCTAACCAGGGCAATGGAGCAAAAACAAAAAACAAAACACCCAGCTTGGAAAGGAAGAAGTAAAACTACCTCTCTTCACAGATGGCATGATTTTGTATGTAGAAAATCCTAAGTAATCCACTAAAAAACTATTTGAACTAATAAATTCAGCAGCATTGCAGAGTACAAGATCAGCACCCAAAAATCCACTGTATTTCTTATACACTGGCAAGAAACAATCTCAAAGTGACATTAAGAAAACAATTCTGTGTAAGATACCATCAGAAATAATAAAATACTTAGGAACAAATTTATACTTGTAAACTATAAAACTTTGGTTCTGGAAACTACAAAACACTGATGAGATAAATTAAAGAAGACATAAATAAATGGAAAGAAACCCTGTATGTATAGATCAGAAGACTTAATATTGTTAAGTTGGCTGTACTTTCCAAATTGAGCTGTAGACTGAACGAAACCTCTGTATGTGACACATGATTTTCCTCTTACTGCTCCAAAGGTTGTCTCCTAGTCTTTGGCTTTTACGGTTTTACTGGGATGTTTCTGGGTGTGGCTCTCTTTGAGTTTATCTTCCGTTGAGTTTGTTGAGCTTCGTGGATATACAGATTAATGTTTTTCATCAGACTTGAGAAATTTTCAGCCATTATTTATTTGGATATTCTTTTCTGCTTTTTTCTGCCTCTCCTCTCCTCCTGGCACCCCCAGCATGTATATAATCCACATTATGCATAGGTATGCTTAGTGGTGTCTCCTAGTTCTTTTGAGGCTCTCTTTTCACTCTGTGCTGCACATTGTACAGTCTCTATCGATTTATCTTCAAGGTCATGGATTCTTTCTTCTGCCAGTTCACATGTGCTTTTGAACCCATATGGTGAATTTTTAATTTCAGTTATTGTTCTTTTTAACTCCTGAATTTGCACTTGGTTCTTTTTTATAATCTCTCTCTTTAATGATATTCTCTATTTGATGAGACATTATGATCATACTTTACTTTAATTTCTTTTCTTATTTGAGTATAGTTGACATACAAGTCCACATTAGTTTTAGGTGTACGACATAGTGATTCAGCATCTCTATACATTACGCTGTGCTCGCCACAAGGGTAGCTGCCATCTGTCCCCATACATCACTATCATAGCATCATTGCCCGTATTCCCTGTGCTGTACCTTTTATTCCCATGACTTACTCATTTCTTTTTTTTTTTTTAAAGATTTTATTTATTTATTTGACAGAGAGAGATCACAAGTAGACGGAGAGGCAGGCAGAGAGAGAGAGAGAGAGGGAAGCAGGCTTCCTGCTGAGCAGAGAGCCCGATGCGGGACTCGATCCCAGGACCCTGAGATCATGACCCGAGCCGAAGGCAGCGGCTTAACCCACTGAGCCACCCAGGCGCCCCATGACTTACTCATTTCTTAACTGCAAGCCTGTATCTTCTACTCCTCTTCACCCATTTTGCCTTTTTCCCTTCCCCTCCCCTCCCCTCTGGCAACCATCCATTTTTCTCTGTATTTATAGGTTTAATTCTGCTTTTGGTTTTTTTTGTTTTTCCAGTTCCACATGTGAGTGAAATCACATGGTATTTGTCTTTTTCAGTCTGAGTTATTTCACTTGGGCATAATACCCTCTAGGTCCATCCATGTTGTCACAAAGGGCAAGATCCCATCCCTTTTTATGGCTGTGTAATATTCCACTGTATATGTAAAACACCTACACCACATCTTCTTTATCCATTCATCTGTTGATGGACAGTTAGGTTGCTTCCATATCTTTGCTATTGTAAATAATGCTGCATTGAACATAAGGGTGCATATATCCAGGTGCCCCTAAGTGGTTGTTTGTTAAAAAAAGAATTTTCACCACAGTGCCTCTGTGATGTAGTTAGTTAAGTATCTGAATTTTGGTTTCTGCTCAGTTGTGATCTCAGGGTTGTGAGATCGAGCCCTCTGTTGGGCTCCCTGCTCAGTGCCAAGTCTGCTTAAGACTCTCTGTCTCTCATGCCTACTCCCTACTCTCTTTCTTAAATGAATAAGAAAATTAATTTTCACCAGTTACAGTTGTTTCACTGAGAAGCAGTTCTCTGATGCTGCTCACACTTAACACTGCCATTCTGAAAGTCGTCGTTCTGTTTGCTGTTTTCCAGAAGTCAGTCACTACGAGTTGGAACAGTTCTTGGAATTAGTTTGTTTGAAAAACCGTATTATGTCTCATCCCCTTTTACAAATTAATTTAAATTTATAGGGTTTATAAGTTCTATATGAATATGTGTTGTAATTTAAGTCCAAGTTTGTGTGTATGAAACCAGATTTTTCTCTCTAAACAACATTTAGGCATAAAATGCATCTTTGATCATTTTTATCCTCTTTTTCTCTTCTCTTTTCCACATGAACTTTACTATCATCATTC